CTGAAGATGTGACTGAATTGCTACAATCTCAAGATAAGACTTTAATGGATGAGGAGTTGCTTCTTATGGATGAGCAAAGAAAGTGGTTTCTTGTGATGTGCAGATGCTGTGAACATTGCTGAAATAACAAAAAAGGGTTTAGAATATTACATAAACTTAATTAATAAAGCAGCAGCAAGATTTGAGAGGATTGATTCCAGTTTTGAAAAGTTCTATTGTGGGTAAAATGCTATCAAACAGCATCACATGCTACAGAGAAATTTTTGTGAAAGGAGGAGTCAATCGATGCGGCAAACTTCATTATTGTCTTATTTTAAGAAATTGCCACAGCCACCCAACCTTCAGCAACCACCACCCTAATCAGTTAGCAGCCATCAACATCAAGGCAATACCCTCCACCAACAAAAAGATTACGACTCGCTGAAGGCTTAGATGATGGTTAGCATTTTTTAGAAATAAAGTATTTTTTAATTAAGGTCTGTACATTGTTTTTTAGGCATAATGCTATTGCACACTTAATAGACTACAGTATAGTATAAACATAACTTCTATATGCACCGGGAAACTAAAAAATTTGTGTGACTTGCTTTATTGCGATATTTACTTTATTGCGGTGGTCTGGAACCGAACCCGAAATATCTCCAAGGTATGCCAGTAATACTTTTTTGTAATATGCTTTATATAGAAAGTGTTTTTAATGGAATCGCACTACATATTTTGCTCCGTGACAGCACCTAACAACAACAACCACAGCAACTACCACCATCACCAGCACATTTTAGTGGTTGCATAGTATTTCATCATTTAGAAATTTTATGGTGTATGGACAACCACCATTTGTCTGTCAGTTTGTTGTACTGTGGTGGCTTGCACGTTGCTTTGATGTTAGAAGATAAGCCACCGAAATTTCAAATATTAGCAGGGTCATCATTGTCTTAGTCATCCAATGCTGCTATAACAGAAATACCACAAGTGGATGGCTTTAACAAACGGAAGTTTATTCTCTCACAGTCCAGTAGGCTAGAAGTCCAAATTCAGGGTGCCGGCTCCAAGGGAAGGCTTTCTCTCTGTCGGCTCTGAAGGAAGGTCGTTGTCATCAATCTTCCCCTGGACTAGGAGCTGAATGTGAAATGTATGAAGTATGAATCTAGGAAAACTGGAAGTTGTCAATGAAATGAAATGCTTGAAGATAGATATCTTAGGCATTAGTGAGCTGAAATGGACTGGTATTGGCCATTTTGAATGGGACAATCATATGGTCTTCCAGGAATGACAAATTGAAGAAGAACGGCATCACATTCTTTGTCAAAAGGAAATTTCAAGATCTATCCTGAAGTACAATGCTGTCAGTGATAGGATAATATGCATATGCCTACAAAGAAGAAGACCAGTTAATATTCAAATTTACACACCAACCACTGAATGTCAAAGATGAAGAAACTTAAGATTTTTATGAACCGTTGCAGTCTGAAATTGATAAAACATGCAATCAAAATGCATTGATAATTACAGGTGATTGGAATGCAAAAGTTGGAAACAAAGAAGGAGCAATAGTTGGAAAACATGGCCTTGGTGATAGAAACAATGAGACTGCATGATAGAATTTTGCAAGACCAATGACCTATTCATTGGAAACATCTTTTTTCAACAACATAAACAGTGACTATACACATGGACCTCACTAGATGGAATACACAGGAATCAAATCGACTACATCTGTGGAAACAGATGATAGAGCAGCTCAATATCATCAGTCAGTACAAGGCCAGGGGCCAACTAGGGAGCAGACCATCAATTGCTCATATGCAAGTTCAAGTTGAATCTGAAGAAAATTAGAACAAGTCCATGAGAGCCAAAGTACGACCTTGAGTATACCCCACCTGAATGTAGAGACCATCTCAAGAATAGATTTGATGCATTGAATACTAATGACTGAAGACTAGACGACTTGTGGGATGACATCAAGGACATCATACATGAAGAAAGCAAAAGGTCATTAAAAAGACTGGAAAGAAAGAAAAGACCAAAATGGATGTCAGAGACTTGCTTTAGAACATAGAGTAGCTAAGGAGAATGGAAGAAATGACGAAGTAAAAAAGCTGAACAGAAGATTTCAAAGGGTGGCTAGAGAAGACAAAGTACAGTATTATAATGAAATGTACAAAGACCTGGAATTAGAAAACCAAAAAGGAAGAACATGCTCGGCATTTCTCAAACTGAAAGAACTAAAGAAAAAATTCAATCCTTGAGTTGCAATATTGAAGGGCTGCATGGGTAAAATATTGAAGGACACAAGAGACATCAAAAGAAGATGGAAGGAATACACAGAGGCACTGTACCAAACAGAACTGGTCGATGTTCAACCATTTTAGGAGGTAGCATATGATCAAGACAATGGTACGGAAGGAAGAAGTCCAAGCTTTACTGGAGTCATTGGTGAAAAACAAGTCTCCAGGAATTGATGGAATATCAATTGAAATGTTTCAACAAATGGATGCAATGCTGGAAGTGCTCACTTGTCTATGCCAAGAAATCTGGACCAACCAACTGGAAGAGATCCATATTTGTGCCCATTCCAAAGAAAGGTGATCCAACCGAATGCGGAAATTATCTAACAGTATCGTTAATATCACACACAAGTAAATTTTGCTGAAGATCATTCAAAAACAGTTGCAGCAGTACATCAACAGGGAACTGCCAGAAATTCAAGCTGAAATCAGTAGAGGATGTGGAATGAGGGATATCATTGCTGATGTCAGATGGATCTTGGCTGAAAGCAGAGAATATAAAAAAAAATGTTTACCTGTGTTTTATTGACAATGCAAAGGCATTCGACTCTGTGGATCACAACAAATTATGGATAACATTGTGAACAATGGGAATTCTAGAACACTTACTCGTGCTCATGTAGAACCTGTGTGTAGACCAAGAGGCAGTCATCTGAACAGAATAAGGAGATACTTCGTGGTTTAAAATGAGAAAAGGTGTGGGTCAGTGTTGTCTCTTTTCACCATGCTTATTCAATCTGTATGCTGAGCAAATAATCCAAGACACTGGACTATATGAAGAAGAACGCAGCATCAGGATTGGAGGAAAACTCATTAACAATCTGCGATATGCAGATGACACAACCTTGCTTGCTGAAAGCAAAGAGGACTTGAATTACACCTCCACATAAACAAAACAAAAATCCTCACAACTGGACCAATGAGCAACATCATGACAAACAGAGAAAAGACTGAAGTTGTCAAGGATTTCATTTTATTTGGATCCACAATCAATGCCCATGGAAGCAGCAGTCAGGAAATCCAAGGATGTATTGCATTGGGCAAATCTGCTGCAAAAGATCTCTTTAAAGTGTTAAAAAGCGAACATGTCACTTTGAGGACTAGGGTGCGCGTGACCCAAGCCATCGTATTTTCAATGGCCTCATATGCATGTGAAAGCTGGACAATGAATAAGAAAGACCGAAGAATTGATGCCTTTGAATTATGGTATTAGCAAAGAATGTTGAATATACCGTGGACTGCCAGAAGAATGAACAAATCTGTCCTGGAAGAAGTACAGCCAGAATGCTCCGTAGAAGCGAGGATGGTGCGACTTTGTCTCATGTACTTTGGACATACTATCAGGAGAGACCAATCCCTGGAGAAGGACATCATGCTTGGTAAAGTAGAGGGTCAGTGAAAAAGAGGAAGACCCTCAACGAGAAGACCCTCAACGAGATGGACTGACACAGTGGCTGCAACCATGGCCTCAAACATAGCAATGATTGCGAGGATGGCGTAGGATGGGGCAGTGTTTTGTTCCGTGGTACAGAATCACTATGAGTCGGAACCAACTGGACAGCACCTAGCAACAACAACAACAACATTAAAGGATATTTAGTGGTGGTCTGTATTTTTTTTTTAATTTTTCACTGTCTTAAATATCACTAGATTCAGTGTATATATGTTTGTGGCACATTTTTGATTCTTTTCTTGACTAAGTTCCTATAAGGATAATTGCTGTGGCAATGTACGTGTACAGAACATTTTTAAGGCTTTTGATGCATGTGGCCAAACTGCCCTCCAAAAAGGTTGCTCTGAGTTAAAGGGTGTCTTGATCTCTAACTGGAAAAGCCCCTTCACCCCAGGTCTGTTCACCAGTTCTTGTCTCTACACTTGGAGGGGAATGGCAGAGGAGGGAGAGGAGGTAGGTTCCAACCCAGCCAGAGCCAGAGCTGATCCAGTGAATTCTACCCTCTAATCCCTCCTGTGTCCTCCCCTCCAGCTACGCAGCCCGGGACAAGAACAAGCTGATCCAGCTGGGCATCACCCACATCGTGAATGCTGCTGCAGGCAAGTTTCAAGTGGACACAGGTGTCAAGTTCTACCGTGGAATGCCCTTGGAGTACTATGGCATCGAGGCTGATGACAACCCCTTCTTTGACCTCAGTGTCTACTTTTTGCCTGTTGCTCGATACATCCGAACAGCCCTCAGTGTTCCCCAAGGTGAGCTGCTGGGGAAGGCACTGGTGCAGGAATGGGGAGCTCTGGGCTACTCATATTTCCAGTGGCACTGATGGGTGGGGTGTCCAGAGCTACACACCCCTTCAGCAACCCTCCCACCCCATGGGGAAAGTAGCTACTAACATTTAGTGAGCATCCCCTTCAGCGATCGCCTGGAAACCAACAATCATAGACATGACTAAGGTCCAGTGTGGCCATCAGCATAACCATATCCCTCAATAAAAGGCCAGGTGGTTGGGCTGAAGATAGAGGATCTAGCAAAAGGCTCTTGAGCATGCTTCTCTAAGAGGAGGCCTTGGCATAGGGCTGTAGGGGCAGGAGAGAGAGAACTGGAGGGAGGAGGAGGTGGGTGGACACACCCCAGGGGATCCTAGGAGTACAGCCCAGAGTTGTAAAGGATGCAGAAGAAGCAGTCAGAACCAGGAGAAGGGAATCCCAGCTGCTAACCTTAGACTTGTCACTAACTTGCTATATGACCTTGAGCCAGTCCCTTCATCTCTCTGGGCCTCAGTTTCCCCAGGATGCTGTGGTGGGTGGGCTGGAGGATGACCAGAGGTGTCTCTGATTCTCAAAGGGGTGGGTGGTGTGAAGGAGGTAGCTGATGCCACGTTGGGTTTCCCCACAGGCCGCGTGCTGGTACACTGTGCCATGGGGGTTAGCCGCTCTGCCACACTTGTCCTGGCCTTCCTCATGATCTGCGAGAACATGACATTGGTGGAAGCCATCAAGGTAGTGCAGGCCCACCGTGATATCTGCCCCAACTCAGGCTTCCTACAGCAGCTCCAGGTTCTGGACAATCGACTGGGGCGGGAAACGGGGAGGCTCTGACCTGACAGGCAGCCAGGAGCCCTGACCCTCTGGCCCGCACGGCCCAACCCAACCAGCCTGGCCCTGGGGACAGCAGCCTCCATTGTTTCCAGTGATCCTGAGATGTAAATAGCAAAGTGGGGACTTTGAGGAGGCAGAAGTAGAGATAGCTAGGTGGTGACTTTTAGCTGATGGATTTCCCTGACCCAATCCAGAGATTCTTTATGCAAAAGAGAGTTCAGTCTGTCTCTATAATAAAAGGTTCATCGTAATAAAGACAGATCTTGTGGTGGTTTGTGGGGCAATAGCTTATCCCCAGGATGGTTTGCCAACTCTGGTTCAGCATAATGGCAGCCCAGAGAAGGAGTCTGAGTCTATGTCAGGGCTTAACAAGGAAGGAGGGGAAGTGGCGATCAACTAGTGGGATCTGCTGTGCATGCCAAGAGGGAGGAGTGTTGGGAATTAGTTGACCTTTTTCTTATCTTCTCCTCTTCATACCCTTACCCAAGAGTTAGGTTGTCTGAATAAAGATCAAAGTTCAATGCTTCATCATCCTCTCCACGCCCACCCTATCAAAACTCTCTGTGCACAAATAGCATCTCTTGGATCCAGTCAATCTTTTCATTTACATTCTACTTCCAAAAGAACTGACTAAAATTACAGACACCTAAAAAAGAAGAGCATTAAATAAGAGAAGAATAGGTTGGGAGGAGACACTTATACCAGAAATCCCAGGCGAAGGATGGTTTTCTGAAGGAGCAAGATTTAGCTCTGAGAATTGCAAATCAAAACAACGAGATATCATCTCACCCCAACATTACTGGCACAAATTAAAAAAAAAACAAAACCCAGAAGATAACAAATGTTGGAGAGGCTGCAGGGAGATTGGAACGCTTATGCACTGCTGTGGGAATGCAAAATGGTACAACCATTTTGGAAAATGTTATGGCACTTTCTTAAAAAGCTAGAAATAGAAATACTACATGATCTAGCAATCCCACTCCTAGGAATATATCCTAAAGAAATAAGAGCAGTCACACCAACAGACATATGTACACCTATGTTCATTGCAGCATTATTCACAATAGCAAAAAGATGGAAACAACCTAGATGACCATCAACAGATGAATGGATAAACAAACTATGGTACATACACACAACGGAATACTATGCAATGATAAAGAACACTGATGAATCTGCGAAACATCTCACGACATGGATAAATCTGGTGGACATTATGCTGAGTGAAATAAGTCAATCACAAAAGGACAAAT